TTTTTTTTTTTTAAGTTTTAGAGTATAGATGTTGACGCCAAACAAAGCAGGAATTAGTACTTTGACAAGTATTTAAAAAACCAATACATAAAACCACAAAACCCATTTATTTGTGAGAGTCAATTTCAACTTTTGAGGTTCACCTACTTATTTAGACTTCACTTAGATTTAGGATCTTATCATAAGCTTCACAGTTTATTAAGTAGCTTTCTGTAACCCTAGAAAATAAACCCAGGCTTCAACTGCTTCTCACTGAGACGGTAATCACCTTGATTTGAGTATCAAATATGAACAAAAGACAGCATAGGTATTTTTGTGGTGGATTACTATGCTCTGGCAATTACACAGTAGGATTTTCTACACCGTGTACTCATTTTGTAAACTCCTATAGATTCACATATTCAAGAAGTCAAGACTCCTGTCAGATGCATTAAAAAAGAAACACAGCTCTTGTGGATGTATAGGTTCTCATTTTTTGTGGTTAGATAAGTTTCACCGGATGACTAAGCATTTTCAACTAAATTCATCTACCTTACCATAAAGAAAAATAAGGCAACTGTGTTGGAATAAACATGCAAGCCTTTTCTTCATTTCTAATCAGTTCTATCCCTGATGTAGACTGGAGTTCGAGGTTAAGTTAGAAAGAGTTTTGTTTGAATCAATTCAGATAACATTCTTTTGGGATAATACTACCCATATATCTTCGGTATAATTTATGTATACATTGGGCAGAAGTCTGCTAGGCATTTGAAAGAACAAATAAAAACACAAGGTCCCTGTCATTAAGAGGTTATAATTCAGTTATAAAGCCACAAGAGAGTTTAACATGTAATATAAATGAGGGAAAAGGGAGGACAAGTATTACAGTAATACATTCATATGGTTACTCAAGTATGTCTGTACACACCTAGATGGCTCTATTACATTAACAGGAAGCTTATTTTTGTCAAACATATAGTAAGTTATGGGTTGGTTTTGATTTTTTGGGATGGATGGGTGTAAACCACTGGGGTGATCGAAGATGGGCGATAAGGAACAAAGTCATGGTGAGGATTGCTGGGTTACAATAGGCACGGACAAGGGGAGAGAAAGGGGTAGAAAATGTATGTTTTTGACTGTTTAATATATTTGTTTGCTGAAGTTATGCAGGTTCATCATTTAAGAAATTACTAGAAAAAAAAAGAATATCTTTCCCATTAGGCCACTATATACATGTCTCAGAAATAACCAGAGAGAAATGCAGACCTAAATTCTGATGCATATACACATTCAAACAGTGACACCCCTACAGCCTCTATATTGATGTGAAATTACAGATGCAAATATTCTGTTTATATTTTATGAGTACATGCCCAAATGCTGTAAGTGAAAGCCAGAGAATTTGTTCTCTTCTGGGACAAACAGTACCATAAACATACTTACTTATAACAAATATGGAAATGAAATCAAACTTCAATCATGTAAAAGTTTCTGTAGTCTCAAATTTCTTTGAAAGAAGAAACAAGAGATTTAATTTTAAGAACAAGGGTGACTGAAAGACTGTCCTGTATGCCTGTATCCATCTGTTGTCTCTTGTCTTCTACTTAGGAATTGTCTATGTGAACACTTAGTTCAGGGCAAGCTAAGGATCTGAATCTACCCTGGACTAGTCTGCTACATACTGTCTGTGTGGACCTTGCTGAGGTGCATTAACAGTTTGTTAGTGTGCTTTGATCTAGCACAGTTTCAAAGATCAAAGCGCACTAACAAACTGTTAATGCACCTCAGCAAGGTGCAAAGAGACATTTAGCATGTAGCATGCTAGTGCTGGATAGATTCACACCCCAGTGCAGGGGTCGGCAACGTTTGGCACGTGGCTCGCCAGGGTAAGCACCCTAGAGGGCCGGGCCAGTTTATTTACCTGCTGACGCGGCAGGTTCGGCTGATTGCGGCCCCCACTGGCCGCGGTTCACCATCCCGGGCCAATGGGGGCGGCGGGAAGCCGCGGCCAGCACATCCCTCGCCCGCGTGGCTTCCCGCCACCCCCATTGGCCCGGGACAGCGAACCGTGGCCAGTGGGGGCCGCAATCAGCCGAACCTGCCGCGTCAGCAGGTAAATAAACTGGCCCGGCCCGCTAGGGTGCTTACTCTGGTGAGCCGCGTGCCAAACGTTGCCGACCCCTGCCCCAGTGTGTGACTGTTAGTGTAGACAGGCCCTTAGACAGTCCCTCTCCAAAGAGGTTACAATCTTTTTGTCCTGTTTGCACAGCACCTAGCACAATGAAGCCTTGGTCCATGATTAAGGCTCCTAGGCACTACAGTTATTAACAACTATTAGTAATCAATTATTTTGATAATGTGACTGATCTCCCAGGAATGTCCTCTGAGTCCTGTTTGCAAACCTTAAATCAGCAGTGCACGCTAGGGCTGAATTCACAACTAATTTAATAGGAAATCAGGGGAAAAGAGAGGTAACAATTTCTTCTCTATTTTTTGATGGCATACGCCTCTACAGTGTCATTTAGAAAGTAGGATTTTTTTGAATAGTTCTAAATATATTACATAGAGCTAAATAAGTACAAGATAAGTGTGTTTTTTCTTATAAATAATTTTGTTCTAGCTGCATAGTTGTCATTCTCAGACATCTTTTTGAATCAGGAAAAATAAGACTGCATATGCTTAAATATGTCAGCTTTCCGGTATGAAAGTAAAATATTCAAGAAATATTAAATATTAAGTTAAACAGGAGACAAAGTTATGCAAAGGCCGCTTGGTAATTCAAAGAAGCGTAAATTTTACTCTAATTTATCTTGTTGACCTTCTAAACATTAATTTTATTCTTTAAAGTAAAGTTATCTTAGTGAATTACATTGCACTACTATCTGGAATAGCTATAACTTTTGTTGTTGTTGAGAAGTTAGATTGTACTAGTAGTACTTCCTGTAACAAGTTGGTATAGAGTGCCATCCTACATGTCAAACTCATTACTGCTAATGTTAGGAACTTTGTATAAAACAATACTCTATGCACTTTGTTTTTCTTTTATTGTTCTTGGTGCCTCTCTGATCAGAGGTCAAAATAGACAAAAAAAATTGAGCTAATCTCCCAAACTCCATCCACATCTGCCCACTCATTACCAGAATGATATGCCACCCATAGTAAGTTGTTCAAATCTTCATAATATGATAATATCTCTCCTTCCCTGCATGCTTTGGTCAGTAGTATAATAATTTTAATTATGATGTGCGAATTATGCAATAATAATTAAGGAATTTGAATAATATCACTAGGTTTTAGAGCTAACATTTAAAGGTTGTGAACAGGGGCAGTCCGCACCTTCTCTTAAGCACTAATATTTCAGGCTATCTGCAGAATTAGGGATAGAACTGCATTTGGTTAACCTAAAAAAAGGCAAACTGAACAGTATTTTCACAATTATGCAAGGTAGAGGCAGTATTTAAATAGAAGCTCAGATTCTGGAGCAGCCAACAGGGAGAAGTATTGGCTTGTGGAATTGCTGTGAGCTGGCCCCATTTGGCACCTGTATCTTTAATCTAAAATAAATAATAATAATAATGTGTTTTAAATGGGTGTTATTAATTAGCGATGGGAAAATCTCAAAGGATTCCAAAACTTGGTTACAAATCAGAAGTTTAAAATCTGATCTGAACCACTTTGGTCTGACTCTTGCCATAAAAGTCTTTCTGATAAGTTTTCCTGTATTCCCTAGTTAGAAATACTATAGAAATGGTCTAAATTGGTACGTCTACCACTTGTCGTGGCTGAAACCAGGAAATGTAGAGGCACACGGAAAAAAATATCAGTGATATTTTTCCTCCTCCCCTTCCTTAACCTCAACAAAGGTTCAGTTCAAGTTTTGAGAAAAGATAGGGACAGGTGATTTTAGTTTTCTAAATATGCACACGCATCAGCTTGCCACCTCAATGTGTGAACCAACTCAGACTAAAAAGAAAAACAACCCACCCCATCTTTGGTGATTATATCTATCAGCAGCATACACTGTATTTTGTTAAATTATTATGAATGTTCTAGGTCCTCAAAAACATATGCCTAATTTGCACACACCATGATTGCACATAAAGTTTCAGTAGCCACAGCTATACCTAGCTGGCCTTTTGCATATGCAGCTGCAGTAATGCTGCATAGTTACACACACAGTTCAGTTTCTGAAATCTGTCCTCAGATGTCTTGAGATGATACAAAGAAATTGCTCCATTTAAATAAGGAATTTCAGAAGTAAAGTTTTGTTTCTCAAAACTAACACTCTGTATCGGACATGAAGTCTAAGGTCCAGAAAAATTATTTGTCTCCTGGGAAATAAGTAATAATTTCATGCAAGTCTGAACTTGGGCGACAGCAACAAAAAAGAAACTTACTAATTCACTATATGGCTTTTCCCTGTCATTTGTGACTTAGTATTTCATATGAATGTAACAACAACAATTTGCATTTCTATCACTTCCTTTCAAAGATCTCATAGTGCTTTGATAACAGGTAAGTAAGCCTCAAGACACTTTTGAGCTCAGTGACACCTATGACTATGGGTCTTATCTTTTGACTTTTGGAAATCTCTGACGCTGTCATATTTTGGGGATTTAACAGTATTTCCCGGATCTCTACTAACACCAGAGAAGCCACAAGCTCTATCCCAGCCACTGACCAAGAATGCTAACTGTTCCTCCAAGAAAAAAGAACATCCATCTGAAGAGAAATTCTACCAGGCTTCACCTTCAAAAAGGTAAACAAAACAACAAAAACAAACCAAAATGTATCACCAACTATTTCCCACTTTTGACATGGAAGTTTCTTAAACTAGATATTTAGGACTATCATCTTCATCGTGCTTTGGCTCATCAAGTAAGCTTTTAAAAGAATTACCAAATATGAGACAAGAATACAGCCTACAATATCCTCCCACACAATTTAAAAAATAAAAGATTTTTTTTTAGCTCCTGTACAATATCAACAGCAACCATTCTATTCTGTGTTGTTTTACTTACCCGTTTATCAATGTCATTATGTTGGAGCTGGACAAAGCGAGCACTAATAGCAGCAATATAGCTCTGCTGATTGGAGAAAGCCACTCTGCCAGCACCTTTTGGGTACTTCAATTCTGGGTCCGTATCAATGCCAGCATAGCAGACACCTCCATATAAACGGTCCATAATCATTGCCAGTTCAACTGTGAGAAAACAATTATTAAATGTTGTAGATTCAATATTACTAAAGGTTTTATGCATGGCCTGCAGCTTTAAAAATAGACTATTTACCCTAATTCCAGTACTTTAGGAAAATAGAAAAAGGACCTGAAAGCTGGATTGGTCAAAGAATCCCAGTACCCATCTGAAATATACTGAAAGTGCAAACATAAACTGGTGAGGATACTAAGGAAAAGCTTTCCTGGGATTCTGTTACATACCCCAAGTAGAGTGTTTTATCAGTTACATATTACATTTGATTCCAAAAAGTGCATTAGTGCAATGTCGAGGTTAAATAGTTATAAAATCATACTGTCAGAAAAATGTAGATTTCTCCTCCCCCCCCCCCCCCGTCCCACCAGTGATTAACTCAGCCCTACTGCATCATGTATATTGATGGTATATGTTTACTGACAAAAATAGTAATATACTAAGCTATATATTAATGAGAATAATAGAAATAAAAATACACCATATGTGCATAATGGAGACAAATGAGTGTTGTCTGTAGAACCTCAGATTTTGCATTTCCTGACTTGTTATTTTAACCACTTGGTCTCAGAGATGCATTTCTTTCCTTGGGTTTTTTTGAAACTGTTGGAGTTGTTCTTGCACATATTACATGCTCTAACTATCTGGGTACACTTGGCTATATGCACAGTCAAATAAGTGCATCTGTCCTGAACTGGGCACTTTACAACTTTTCATTCCACATGTCCGTATGTAAAGTTCAGAAGCTCTTATTTTGTTAAATGAAATCTAATTTCCACACTCCCCAGACTTGGGAAATCACGCTTTAATTAAGGGCTAAGACTGTGCCACATTTCACACATTGACCATTTCTGCTCTAGCTAAATTAGGGCCTGATTCACTGAAGTCAATGGAAATACTCCCATATTTTTTCCAGACTTAAGTGGGTTTTGGGTTAGATTCTTAAAGAATATGTTTGTTTTCTTTTCCAGTGAGGAAAGTATTTTTTCAGTCTTTCAACTGAAACAACTAAACATCCCCTCCACCCACCCTTCAAACTTTCAGCAGAAAATTCATCTTTGGGTAGAAACCAAATATGGAAAATTTGATCCCAAAAGATTAATTATTCAGAAAAGCACACGAGGACAAGGGTTGCAATGGAAACTGTTGCAGCCTTACCTGCCACAATGTACTCTCGCTTGTGAATGAGTTATGTTTATATAACATATACATTATGTAAGTTATATATACATTTATGGAATGTATTGAATGTTATGTCATTTATGTTATTGCATGGACATACAGTATTGCTTTTACACACACACATACACACACCCCACAATACCCTCTTCCCCTCCCCCCAAAGAGGAGGGATTTTTAGAAGGCATTGGATCTTGTCAGAACTTTTCCAAACTGTCATATTCTAAGTACCACCACCCAAGTTATTTAGTTTTTTAAAATTAATAAAACTCCCCACAAATGAATGACAAAACAGAAATGGCAAATATCTATTCTAAACAAGAAAATTACCACAATAAAATTTTGGAATATAATGATTCTCAGAGGACAGCTGCTTAGGAACTGAAGAAACCAATATACAGCATAATGAAACACCCAAAACAGTAACTCCAAGAATAACCTCACCCACTAAGCTCCTAGTTCCATTTCTTTGTGCCATTCAAATTATGACACGTCATCTTTAGAGCATGATCATATTTCTCAAGTCATAGCCCACTATCTTCTATTCCCTATATACCATATATATTCACAAACTTATTCTACACCATCGTCACAAAAATCGGAGCTTAAGTCGGAGCATTTTCAAACAGGGGGAGAGGGGTTAATTAATGGCAAGCTAATTAGTTTCTCTTTAAAAAATTAAATATGATGTATTGCATCAGGTTCATTATGTCATTTAGTTGCCTTGTCACACCACATGTACTGAATTTATGATATGTTGTAGTGGTAAAGGGAAGCTTAACTATCTTTGGCTTTGAAGACAAAGATAATCCAAGTTTAGTTACCCAAGCAAAATAGTGTTTCTAAACTGCGAACATATTTAGACATCTGGTTTTACAGACCTGTCATCTCCTATATTGACCACACTTTTGTACCTACTCTCTCTTGTTGTATCTCCAGAGATATCCTGTAACAATCATTTAGAAGAATCTGGCAAATCAGGGACTTCTAAATATACTTAAAGCAATAAATCCTGTACCAGAGAGAAGAGGGTTTTGAGTATCTTACTACTTTCTTGCTATATTCTTTTATTACTGGTTGAGATGAATGCTTTAGGATTACAATCCATGTATGCCATATTGATACTGTACAAGAGTATACCTTAAGCTTCTGTTGGAAAAGTTGCTAAAATTTTTCCCAGACATCTGATTTTCCAAAATTCATTTTTCTTGTCCCAATATTTGCAGAAATATAATCCTAGTACTACAGTTGTAACAGAAAAACATCAGTGGGGAAAACATGCTTAACTTCTTAGGCTTTGGTACAATTAAGACTATGCTTTGAAATAGAAGACAGGAAAAATGACTGAAAAGGAAAGCATGGAATGAGAATGTATAAAGAATAGAATGGAAACATGCATGGTGTGTCATTAGGGATACTTATACATTTTTAATTTTAAATTAGGAGAAAACATTTAGACTCTCCAGATGATGGTGCCTTTCAGATTCCCCCAAAGCAGTAATTTCTTAATTTTTTTTTTTGATAAATCTAGCAGCAGAAGCATAGAGTTCTTTTAAGTCTTTATCTTGTTTTATGACAACCTCTTAACTTGACAGCTCAGAAGCTAATCCAGGTTACATAGGTCATCTAGAAAAACTGGAATTTAAAATTATCTAAAACAGTGTACATTTTTATTTTTTTAAACATATAGCCCATATTTTACAAAACGGAAAAAACATCTCTCTTTCTCAAGGATACTCTAGTGCAATGTTGGTAAGCCACCAAAAGTAGACTAGTATATTGGCACCATGTAAAATCTTCATAGATTTTAAAGCCAGAGGGGACCATTGTGATAATCTAATCTGATCCCCTGCACATCCCAGGCCACAGACCCTCACCCACCCATTCCTGTAATATACCCATAACCTCTGGCTGAGTTACTGAAGTCCTCAGAGCATGATTCAAAGGCCTGGTCTACATTACGAGTTTAGGTCGAATTTAGCAGCGTTAAACTGAATTAACCCTGCACCCATCCACACAACAAAGCCATTTTCTTCGACAAAGGGCTCTTAAAAGCAATTTCTGTACTCCTCCCTGACGAGAGGAATAGCACTGAAATCGACATTGCCATTTCGAATTAGGGTTAGTGTGCCCACAATTCGACGGTATTGGCCTCCGGGAGCTATCCCACAGTGCACCATTGTGACTGCTCTGGACAGCAATCTGAACTCGGATGCACTGGCCAGGTAGACAGGAAAAGCCCTGCGAACTTCTGAATTTCATTTCCTATTTGCCCAGCGTGGAGAGCACAGGTGACCACACAGAGCTCATCAGCACAGATAACCATGCAGTCCGAGAATCGAAAAAGAGCACCAGCATGGACCGTATGGGAGGTAGTGGATCTGATCGCTACATGGGGAGAGGATTCCGTGCTAGCAGAACTACGTTCCAAAAGACGAACTGCCAAAACATTTGAAAAAATCTCCAAGGATGGAGAGGCGCCACAATAGGGACTCTCATCAGCGCCGCATGAAAGTTAAGAAGTTCAGACAAGCCTACCAGAAACCAAAGAAGCAAACGGAAGGTCCAGGGCAGAGCCGCAGACATGCTGCTTCTACGCTGAGCTGCATGCAATTCTAGGGGTGTTGCCACCACTACCCCCCTCTGACCGTGGATTCTGAGGAGGGGGTAATCTCAGTCATGCCTGAAGATTCTGCGGTCAGGGAAGATGAGGAGGAGGACGACGAGCTTGCGGAGAGCACACAGCACTCCTTTCTCCCCAACAGCCAGGATCTTTTTCTCAGCCTGACTGAAGTACCCTTCCAACCCTCCCAAGGCATTATCCCAGACCATGAAGCCATGGAAGGGACCTCTGGTGAGTGTACCTTTGTAAATATAAAACATGGTTTAAAAGCAAGCGTTTTTTAATGATTAATTTGCCCTGAGGACTTGGGATGCATTCGCGGCCAGTACAGCTACTGGAAAAGTCTGTTAACATGTCTGGGGATAAAGTGGAAATCCTCCAGGGACATCTCCATGAAGCTCTCCTGGAGGTACTCCAAAAGCCTTTGCAGAAGGTTTCTGGGCAGTGCAGCCTTATTCTGTCCTCCATGATAGGACACTTGACCATGCCACGGTAGGACACTTGACCATGCCATGCTAGTAGCAAATAATCTGGTATCATTGTACGACAAAGCCTGGCAGCGTATGGTCCTGGTGTTTGCCTGCATTCAAGCAACATCCATTCTTTATCTCGCTGTGTTATCCTCAGGAGAGTGATATCATTCATGGTAACCTGGTTGAAATACGGGAATTTAATTAAGGGGACAGAGGTGGCCATTCCTACTAGGCTGTTTGCCTGTGGCTGAAAAGAAATCCTTCCCTGCAGTTAGCCAAGCCGGGGTAGGGGGCGCATTGGCGCTGAGCTTTTCGTGTTTGGCTAGCAGGGATCTTCCCTGATACCAGCCACGCAGTGGGGGGAGGGATAAAGCGATCATCCCAGAGAATTGGATGGGGGTGGTTAGTTTGGTTTCTGCTGCTGCACGTTAACAGGAAAACCGTAGCACTCAATGGGCTTTGCTTGGTATGTAGGAAAGGAGGGCGCTGCTTTTAGGAAGGTTGCAGAAGCTGAAGGACAATGGATTACCATGGCCGCATGCAAGCCAAATTCTGTTGCCCGGACCTGCGTCTGTGATCTCTAACACCAAAGCCGCAGGCACTCAATATTAAGATGCAAAATGCGACCTTGTACCGAAATCACATGTGCTATGTAATGTGAATAGTGTTGTTCACCGTGAAAGAGTATAAGCATTGTTCTGTAAAATGTATCTTTTAA